CTGTAAGGTATTAGAGGAAACCTCAATCCCTTTCTTCATTAAGCTCCGAGACCAAATTCTGGTCTGTGTTATCTCTTGTGCAGCCTTATTGAACCCAGTTCTTAAGTGCTAGACCTTAGTACGGACTGACAGCGTTAATTTACGTCCCCCTTTCCTGTTCTGCCTGAGGATTATCTGCTGTGTCCTTCTGTATTTTCAGACCAGCAGAGGATGCATTTAATTAACCTTCCCTACGAAGACAGGCTGAGAGAGCTGGAGTTCTTCAGCCTGGAGAAGAGAAGGCTCCAGGGAGACCTTGTAGCGGCCTCCAATATCTGAATGGAGCCTACAGGAGAGATGGCGAGGGACTCTTGATCAGGGAGTGTAGTGGCATGTGAAGGGGTAATGGTTTTAAATTGGAAGAGGGGAGATTTAGATTAGATATTAGGAAGAAATTCTTTCCTGTGAGGGTGGTGAGACCCTGGAAGAGGTTGCCCAGAGAAGCTGTGGCTGCCCCATCCCTGGAGGGGTTCAAGGCCAGGCTGGATGGGGCTTGGAGCAACCTGGTCTGGTGGGAGGTGTCCCTGCCCAGGGCAGGGGGTTGGAACTGGATGATCTTTAAGGTCCCTTCCAACTCAAACCATTCTATGATTCTATAAATGGCAGACCAAACTGAAATGTGAAAGGTGCTCGAGCTAATCAAATGTTGTGAGGTGTCTCTGCAGGTGCTTTATAGCTGTAGCATGGAAATGCTAAAGATTTAATTGACTGAGTGTGTAACGAGAAGAGGAAATGACACAGTGGCAATTCATTTTCTCTGAGAATACAGTGGGAACACAAGCTGCAGCAACCTCAATTAGATTTTCAGTTAAACATTTTTAGCAAGGATGGGAAGTTCGGCTAATTGAATCTGTTCTAATTTCCATCCTCTTGTTTGTCATTTTTTCGCTCTTCGTTTTGGGAGATATCTCAAGAAGCAGCTCTCGTTCTTCTCTGCTCCTGGCAGTACGTGACGACAGATGGTTGGCAACACGCTGGTGTGCAGGGTGGCTACACACAACCCATAGGAGCTCCCACCTGTCTTCATTACAATGAAACCCAACTGGATCCGCTCCAGTGACTTGTGACTGCCTTCCCTTTCCCCTCTCCTCCCAGTCTCCGTCCTCTTTAATATGAGAATAAGTTTGTTGTGTGTGTAATAATGCCCCAAATGTTTGTTCTGCTGCAGTGAACTCTAGAAAGTCTAAATGAAACATGGTGTTCTGCCCTGAAGAGGTGCAGGTCTAAATAGTCATCAGTTTTTAGCATCCCTGCAGTTAGTACTATACTTTATTGTGATTTTTTTTTTTTTTATCCTGTGTATGTCTGGCTGATTGAGTACCAGTTAATGCACAGGTACCTTCTTTTGGCACCTGCTGATCTAATTTCAAGCGTGAATTCTCTCCCAGAGGGTGATAGTGACAACTTCTTTAAAAAGAGAGAGTATGTCGAAGTCATAATGTAAAAGTTAGCACTTGAAGGTGCTTTGTGGGTTAGAGATGTATTGCTGTGGCACCTCTCTAAACTAGAAAGTCCTATCACAGTTTGCCTGTGTGCTATATATGTCCCCAGGTCTGGGCAAAGCTGGCAGTAGATACCTCTGTACTAGCTAGAGATGGGGAGAGACTCTTTATGAGGGAGTATAGTGGTAGGACAAGGGGTAATGGTTTTAAATTGAAAGAGGGGAGATTTAGATTGGATTTTAGGAAGAAATTCTTTCCTGTGAGGGTGGTGAGACACTGGAAGAGGTTGCCCAGAGAAGCTGTGGCTGCCCCATCCCTGGAGGGGTTCAAGGCCAGGCTGGATGGGGCTTGGAGCAACCTGGTCTGGTGGGAGGTGTCCCTGCCCAGGGCAGGGGGTTGGAACTGGATGATCTTTAAGGTCCCTTCCAACCCAAACCATTCTATGACTCTATGATCCCTGTCTGAACCCTGGAGTAGCTGTTTTGGCAGTTTCTGTGGATCTGGATGATTTGATATTCTATGAGGAAATACTTCCTAGATGTTCTGTAGTTCAAGCTGTTTTGGCTGCTAAACTTGCAGGTTTTTAAAGTCCTTCTAGTGAAATTGATTCCAGAAACATTCAAGAAAGGAGCTTCTGAGAAGATTGGGCTTTGTGCCTGCCTGTTTCTCAGAATATCCTGAATGAACCAAATGGTTAGCTTTTAGTTAGAAGCCTATTTTAAGATACACATGTAGTCTACTTCAAGTTCTTCAGAAATCTACAGAAATTCATGTTTCTTTTAAAAAATCTTCTGGTGGTGTTATGCCAGATAGCCTTTTACAAATTCCTGTAGCCTGGGAAGAAGGTGCAAATATGAAAAGACCTGCATGTTCTCAAGAGTTCTTTGCCAAGTGCAGAAGCTAGCTAGATGGCTTAACTTGAGCCATGCTTGTGGCTTTCAAGTCTTTAATTTATCATTAAAGGAAGGGATTGTGTGTCCAAGAGCAAAAAGCTGATTTGTGTCCCTTGGGGTAGCTTGTGATTTATGCTTTTTTTTTTTTTGGGGAAAGGTGGAGAGGAAGGAATAACAACTAAACACACCCAAAATAGAGTTGACTTCTCAGACTAGATGTTCGGTCCCCCCTGCAAGGAGGACCCACTGAAGGAGTTGCAAGCAAAGTTCCCCAAAACTGTGATGGCCAGTATTGCTAATCTCCATTAAAATTTTTTAAAAAGCAAGTTCAGATTGTAGACTGTGAATTTTGGAGGGACGTTAGTAGGTTTTGGGCAGACTGTGGCAAAGCATGACCTTGGGTAACTTTGACATTAAGTCTGAAACTCCAGTAATCGCTATTGCTCTAACCTAAGGCTTCTCCTTGGCTGGTTATGAAGGGAGGATTTGTGAGAGAAGCAGAATATCTACTGCATATCTTTCATTCATACTGGAACTTGAACCCTTAGAGTTGTAGAAGAGTTAGTCAATACTTTTATTTTTATATACCTTTGGGCAAATAAACTATTTATCATGTGAATTCAGGCCAAAGGCAGCTCACAGGAGCAATAGAGGAAAAATTTCATTTTGGTATTTTTAGAAATTAAACATCTTTGACTTTGCTTTGAAAAGACAGGGGTTTGGGGTGTTTGTTTGTACGCCCTTGAGACTTGATGTAGAAGAATAATTCAAGTCAGGGGCTTTTTGGTTTCTAGGTGGGTAAGAAAAGACTCAACTAGTTGTTTTCTGTTCCTTCTTACCTTGCACACGCTTGTGGGGGATAGAAATTAATGCAATTCCAAAAGGGCTTCTTGGGGGGCAATGCTGACAGCTGGAGAACTAGACTCTCAAGGACTGGCACAGAATGGTTTACCATAAGCAAGTATGTCTATACAAATGCAAAAATAGACTCTGTCTGTACAGATAAGTGGCTGTTATGATATGTGACCTGACGAAGTGTTGCAAACCTTCAGGGAGACTGCAGTTGGACATGGGCTGAGTATCTCTGATCAGGAATGAGTTTTCTGCTGAGCAGCAGGATTTGCTGGAAGGTCTTGTGGTTACTGGGTGTTCTTCAGATGCTGTAGCTCTTCTCTGATAAGGAACCAAGAGAGAAGTCACAGCTCCAGGCACTGTTTGGTTTGATCAGCAAGCAAATGAAAATAATCCCATATCTGATAACTGAGTGAAAAGTATCTAGAATACTATCCTACTTAGTGATTTGTTTTAATATTGAAAAAAAAAAAAAAGTTGTTATTCTCTACAAAGTACACTTTAGTCATAGTTCTAGCACATGCTAATTCAGCTGTAAACCAAACTCATCTGTGTACATTTGCTTTTGTCTACACCATTTCTAGTTGGAGGGAGCTAACGTGACAGGGCACACTGTACTGTAGAGGAGGCCAGACCAAAACTTGACTGATAAAAAGTGGATTATGAAACCACTTTTTTTTAGCAAACTGAATATTAACCAGAAGGTAAGTGGCTGAAGTGTAATGTTTATCACGCTGAGTTGGAGGACCACTAGTGATTTGTGAATCCCTTCTTTATGCTTTACACATTCATGCATGCACACAGAGGGCTACCAGTTGGGAAACGTTTTGTGAAATTTCAATTAAAAGGCCATTCTTAATAATATGTGAAGAAATATGCCAGCTTTCTTTAGAGGGTAAAAGTGCTTCACAGAGTTGTGATTACTTGATTACTGTATGCAGGTGTTATCTTAGTCTAGTTGGAGGGAGCTAACGTGACAGGGCACACTGTACTGTAGAGGAGGCCAGACCAAAACTTGACTGATAAAAAGTGGATTATGAAACCACTTTTTTTTAGCAAACTGAATATTAACCAGAAGGTAAGTGGCTGAAGTGTAATGTTTATCACGCTGAGTTGGAGGACCACTAGTGATTTGTGAATCCCTTCTTTATGCTTTACACATTCATGCATGCACACAGAGGGCTACCAGTTGGGAAACGTTTTGTGAAATTTCAATTAAAAGGCCATTCTTAATAATATGTGAAGAAATATGCCAGCTTTCTTTAGAGGGTAAAAGTGCTTCACAGTGTTGTGAAATTCTCCTTGATTACTGTATGCAGGTGTTATCTTAGTGAAAGTTATACAGCGCTGCTGGAACGTTACTCCTTTGAATACTGATTTTTTTTTAGTTCCCTCTCACTCTTTTTTTTTTTTTTTTTTTTTTTTTTTTTTTTTTTTTAAAAAAAAAAAAAAAAAAAAAAAAAAAAAAAAAAAAAAAAAAAAAAAAAAGTTCTAGGAAAAATATTAAACCC